GATGGATTTGATGGCCGGCAACGCGGGTGGGGTGAATCGCTGGCGTGGATGCCTCTCGGTGGATCTGAAGGAAGGGCCGCGCGATTCGAGGGAGAGGGCGGCGCGGGTGAAGGGCTGGGCGGCGGCACGGGTGGGGGGAGGGGGAGGCGAAGCTGGGGCCGGGCGGCGGCGCGGGTGGGGGGAGGGGGAGGCGAAGCTGGGCCGGGCGGCGGCAAGGGTTCTGGAGAGCGAGCGGGGGCAAGAGCGAGGGGTGAGAGCGACGATTTCCGCCGCAACTGGATCCGGCACAAGTGGGGGAAAGTGGGAATCGGTGGGGCCCACAGCAAATAGCCCCAATTAGCACCCCTTGAGGGTGATAATTTTTTGGGGTGGGCTATTTGCAAATAGCCCTCCTGTTTGGATCCCCTTGAGCTATTTTAGGGCTAAAAGGGGTGGGCTAAAAAAAAACCATAGGATCCAAACACCCCCATAGATGAGCACATGTATAGAAAACATCGATTATTTCTAGCTCGTAGGACTCTACATGTTATGTTGGGAATACTGTGGAAGCTACTAACCGTTTTCGTACGTAGTGATACATGATCTATCCATTATTTTTTGTCTGCTTTCTCTCTGTCGATCGATCTCAATGTTCATCTACTTAGATTCCGGTTTCTAAGTTGTACAGCGTGTTGCTTTTAATCAATTAAAGGTATTGTTTATGCATGTATTATTGTACGTACTTCTCTACATAAAAATGACAACCATCCATGTGATATGTACTAAATTCGTACCTTAACAAGTGAACTATCCACAAAGAATCTTCAGTAATTGTCAACGTTTGTTCTGGACAATTATAGTTATCCCTTCTTTGGTATGAGTTGTGACGTCACTATATATCAGAATGGAACGATCATATGGTGACGACACTGTTGACGAATTAATGAAACGAGTGCTGGAATAACCAATCAAGGTTGTCAGTATCCCGATTCGTATCCTAGTATCTTACGATACTATGATCCTACCAAGTCGAAATGATACCGATCGTATCTAGTATCCTAATTTTCATAGTATCTCGATCCTACTATTCATTACTACAATTACTACATGATCCTACGAAATCTTAGGTAGTATCCCGATTCTATGATTCATACGATACTACAAAATATTATTTAAAATAAGATGGTTTAAAAATAATGTAAATAAATATGCTTAAGTTTATATAAAAATCAGTTAAATATATCCAAACCAACGTGGTTTCTCTTGATAAATGTCTCTATTTGCATGACATATATTATTACTGCATTTTTATATAGACTGGCTATATGTAATTAATATAAATATTAATTAAACTTAAAAAATAAAATCTCATAGTATCCTGATACTACGATACGATACTACTTTGAGCAAAACGATACTACCTAGTATCCCGATCCTAACAACCTTGGAACCAATGCACCTGTTGGCTAAACTGATTTTGATTTTTTAAAAATTTAATATATTAATTAGGATTAATTTTAGAGACATTCTTAGTCACTTCCTTTGCATGGTTCACTTTTCATGATTGCTAAGAAGATGAGGGAAAACTCTACCTACAATTATTTCTAAATATAAAACTTTAAAATTCAAAATTGTTTTATCCGAATGGCAGGGCGAAAGTAGTTGAGTCAACAAGTAGGTGTGTGTCACAAGACTCAGTTTACTCGTATATATAAGGCCTTGTTTAAGTGTCTAATTTTCTTGCAATAAGAAGTCCACTTTATGTCACTATATATGGATCGAGTTTCATTCACATTTCTCAACCGAAAAAAATAGGTACAAAAGCATCCCCAAGGCCCCAACTGTCTTAATTGTCAAAATCGGTACAAATCAAGCTAGTTTAAGGCACCATTGGGGTCAACAAGCCACATAGACGCTGAGTAAACTAATACCCCTCAATGCTGCCAAGGTACTTGATTTGCATTGGTATTATAAGTTGGGGAAGTTCCATACCTAATTTTGTGTTTGAAGGTGCAAATGAAGTTTATTAACTCATAGTTGAGGGGCAAAAGTGGAATTTTCATTTCCTTGCTCATACTTGTAGGCTGTAGACAACCCTTGATTTTTGGCTTGTCAAATACTAGTAAAGACAGGTATCCGTCTTTATATGCTATAGTTCGAAGGAGAAATTCTTCAATTGCAAATGTTATGAACTTTGTCCCGCTGAGTGTTTCTTTTAGAAAAGCTTTAGTAGGTCAGAATCAATCAATAGAATCTTTTTTCATATTGCTTCTAGTTCTAGTTTAGTTTGTCCATCTTTGTCGATTTGCGCCGTAAATCATCCGCCGCCGCTGCGAGAGTGCGACACCTCTTTGTAGGTTTGTCCTGAAAACCTTCCGTTTTGCCCACGAGACAGGTAGTTATCTACGGTTTCATCTAGATCGGCTCCGCTAGCCGGTTTAGTTTATCAAAACCCATCTTGATCTAGTGCTTACTAGATTAGGGTGGTTGACGACTCTACTATTACCGCAAAGCGTTAGGTGCTGCGATCGTGCTTGTCAACTTGTCACAAAAAGTTGCCAACACTCTTTATCTTGTGTTGGCGTTTACGAGTTTGTGTTCGCTTTATGTTTGGAAGAGTTTTTTTTTAAGTTCTCTTTAAGTTGTACTCGTTTTGAGTGATTTCGTGTAATAATTGGCTGTAACTCGTTTGAGCAAAGGCCGGGATGAATTACTATTCTATTATCTTAAAAAAAAGATGAAGTCCAAAGGATGGTTAGGCACTTAGGTCGAAGAAAAATGGCCTAGGTTTGTGGATTAAGGCCCATAGAACTCCGCATCTTTTTGAACTCTTGGTTGGACCATGCACGCATGCATGGGCCTTTTGAATGGATTAGGTCCATGAATAGACGAACCTTCGAAACTGCACGACACCTTTCCCACAAAAGATATTCCCATGTGCTAACAATATAGAAGAGTATACATTTATATGTCTTATATAGTTGCTTTGCACTAACTTTGCCAGTTCCATTAATTTGAAAAACAAAATGATTTTACCAGAAAAGATCTAACAATGCAACAACTGTTGAGTTAAGATCAAATCCACTTACCAAAGTGACACATGGAAAAAAATTACATCCAACTATTATAAAACAACTGGCAACAAAATAAGATGTCCCCTCGTTTTGTGCATATCGTTTAAAAAGTCATCAAAGAATTTGGTAAGAGATTAAAATAGAGGAGAGTTAAGGGACGACACAGAAGGGGACGCTGGCAACAGATGAAGCTTGTGGCCTGACGGTTCCCGACCGGGATGACCAGCCTCAGCACGGTGACAAGGAGGCATACATGCATGCATACTGTACACGCGCACATGCACGTACAGATCGTTTAAACCAATCAAAGTGCTGGCCATGCGCCATCCCGTGCCGAGTCCTCCGTGCCGATGGTCTTCACCGAGCTCTCCTGCTGTCGTAAGCAACATCAACACACGTTCGTTTTCTCCGACACAACATCACCGATGGTCTTCATCAACATGGAAACACACGCCGCCGCCGACTCGTCCACATAGATGGACACCTCGCGTCCTCTGACGGATTAATCTGCAAGATGCTTCATCGATGACATCGACCGCGTCCTCTACAACGACAACGACCGCGACACTGACGGCAGCATCGATCACGTCATCTACGACGATAACGACTGCATCAACTCGGCGTCACTATTGTGATGACCGCTACACGGCGCGAAAGGACCAGCCAAAATGGTGGCCTCATTGCCAACGACGTCCTCTGACATATGCAAGACGTCTCCAATGGCATCCTCTAACATCTACAAGGTGCAAGATGCTAACAATTCCAGTTTCGTCTTCACACCATGGCGTAAGTATTTTTTTTTCGCCTTCGGCTATTTGCGGCTACATCAACTACCGCGACTACGGCTACTACATGATCGGCTACATCGACGAACGTCTATAACAAGAATCATCTACGGCAACTCCAGTTAAAACGTCCGTGTCATCGCTATCGTCCATGACACTCCCGCTATGACTGCGGGAGGAAATAGAGGAGAGTCAACTGACGGCAGCAGGAGAGCTCGGTGAAGACCATCGGCACGGAGGACTCGGCACGGGATGGCGCATGGCCAGCACTTTGATTGGTTTAAACGATCTGTACGTGCATGTGCGCGTGTACAGTATGCATGCATGTATGCCTCCTTGTCACCGTGCTGAGGCTGGTCATCCCGGCCGGGAACTGTCAGGCCGCAAGCTCCTTCCTGAGTAGATGCGTCCTGGTGTTGCCGTCGCTCGGGCTTCAATACAAGGACTTGGACGGTGGTGCCGTACGCGACGGCCTCGTCTTCTGCTTGATGATGCTGGTGAGCGACGACAAAATCGTCGTCGTGTTTATTTGGTGTATCTAATAGAAGAATCGATCTATGGATAATCTGTAGTGGCTAATTGATGCGGCGCCCCAGGGAAATTATAGGATTGATATCATCTCCCCAGGGCGACGCGGGGATCGAACGACGTTGGTCTCTAAGGCTCTGATACCATATGGAAAATCTAATATGTTATATTTTGGTATTTTCTCCATGTATTGCATCGACCCTCTCATGTGGTATATATAGGAGTATATAGGGATAGAGACTTGGAGTACAATACAAGTAATAGTAGATTTATCTCTAGGATTCTATCTTTAGGACTCTATCTTATCTCTAGGATTCTATCTCTAAGATATATCTTATCTCTATATTTGTATTTGACTCTTATCTCTAACTAACATATTATACTTCTAACAATCAATATGTGATATATTATTCTATAAACATACAAGTTCAAATGTGACTTATACAATTAGAACAACAATAAAAAAAAGACTGCAAATTACGTGTTCTATTCATATTCATATTCTTATTTTTTATTTGTATAAGTTAAATTTAAACATATATATTTGTGGAGTGACATTAATCTATCTTGCTATTTTTTTTAAAATAAAAGGTGATGTTTTAAGTAAGTAAAAACAATGCATAGGATATCTCCATAAGGGATGAACAGAGTTTCACTAAGTTAACAAGATATAGTTTCTTAAACACATATGATTTTAACCGGAGAAAGCACACGCAGGATAACATATCTTGTGTGAGCCTGGTACGTAGAAATAGTTCAGTTAATTTCCTGGGAAAATTGGAGCTTCAAGCCTTTATTTGGTGATGAGCTTGTCCAGCTCGGACAGCGGCAGCCGCTTGTAGCCGTCAGCCTCCTCCTCCATCTCCGGCCACTTGTTCTTCTTCTCCGGCGCCACCTCGCCGCCGTCATGGGGCGCCGCGAAGGCTTGCCCGTCGTCGTCGCACAGGCGCCTGAACAGGTGCAGGTACTGTTCCAGGCTGTGCGACGCCGACAGCGACATGGCGACGGCGGCGTCGTCGACGACGAGCTCGACGACTTTCTCGGTGACCTGCACGTACCGGTGGCCCGGCGGCAGCCGCGGCACCAAGTCCTGCTTGACGACGAGGGACACCACGTCGACGTGGCGGCCCTTGATCAGGGCGTCGCGGAACGCCCCGTCGCCGACGCGCGGCGCGCCGAAGGTCACGGCGCGGACGGGGACGTCGTCGTCGGCCAGCGCCGCCGCGACGTCGTGCGCGGCCATCAGGGCGAGCGCGCCGCCGAGGCTGTGCCCCGCCATGGTCACGCGGACGCCGACGCCGGGATCTTCTCGCCGGAAATGGCCGACCAATCGCCTCACCTCCTCGACGACCTGCTCCTGTGCGCTGAGCTCGCCGCGCTGACCCTTCCCGGCCTTGTCCTTGGACGCGTACACCTTGTGGAAGCCCTTCTCCACCTCGCCGGCGGCAGCGGCGGCGGCGGCGCCGCATCCGATCCCCTTATCCTTCGACGTGTACGGCTTGAACGGCACGAGGGGGAACTGGATGTTCATCGACCAGTCGGCGACGTTCACGGAGCCGCGCCACGGGACGACGACGTCCCAGTAGCCGCCGCGCCACGCGGCGGCGACGTAACCGAACCAGTAGGGATTGTCGACGCCGCGGAGGACGGGGAGCGCCGCCTCGAGCGGCGCCGGGACGGCGTCGATGGTGGCGTAGAGGTTGGTGGTGGCCAAGTACAAGTAGCCGCCGCCGCCGTAGTAGTGAACCTCCTTCTCGTCGTCGTCGCCGGCGAAGGCCTTGTAGGCGGCCTCCACCATGTCCCCGTACATGAGGATGTCGGCTTTGTGGTCGGGATGGTTGTGATCGATCGGCAGCTGATAGTCCTCGCCACCGCCGCCGCCGCCACAGATGAGCTGGAGGAAGGTGGCGAAGCCGGCGAGGAGGCTACCCTTGTCGCCGGCGGCCATGTCGTCGTCGATGCTTAAGAGTGTAAGATGACTCGGTACACCCATACTCCACCATGCATATATAGGGCTCGACGTCGTCTCTTCTCTGGCAGTAGATGCAGGTGCATGTGGGGAGTGGATTTTGATCCTCGAGAGTAGTGTTTGCAAGTCGTTTGAATAGTAATAAAAAAATTAAGAAGATATATTATTATGTGATATATCATTCCACAAATATACAAATTTAAATTTAATTAACTTATACATCTTGCAACGAAAAAACAAATTTAATTATAAATATACGTTAACTAGTTGTAGTTTAATTTGGTTTTTTTTATTACGAGATGTAGAAGTTAAATTTGAACTTGTATATTTATATAGTGATATATCGCATGTTAATATATATTCTTAATTTTTTATAATTATTTAAGTGATATGTAAATATCTAAGAGACATCCTCGAGAGATAAAAAAAAAGTTTCTTATGCATGTGTGCAATAATTGTGCATGCTTGCAGTATGGGGCGGGGTAGACCAAGTCAACGTACGACACACGTACATACACCGAACTTTCTTGGGGTTTGGTGTTTAACTTGACTGATCTCGTCATTATTTTATCTAATTACAGGACTCATATGATGACATTATTCCATCTAGACGCAGGCAGGGAGTACAGGTTATTTGTTTTTCTTGACCAGCATAGGCTAGAAACTGGACTAGACTTGACTAACCAATCATCCTGGGCATTTGTTGAGTAGTAACTGTATTTTATTAAGCACTTGTTTATATATACTCTCTTTTTTCCTAAATGTTTGAAGCCATTGACTTTTTTAAACATATTCGACCGTTCGTCTTATTTAAAAATTTTTATGAAATGTGTAAAACTATATGCATACATAAAAGTATATTTAACAATAAATCAAATGATAGGAAAAGAATTAATAATTACCTAAATTTTTTTAATAAGACGAACGGTCAAACATTTTTAAAAAAGTCAACGACGTCAAATATTTTGGGACGGAGGGAGTATATATTTGCAGATGTTTTCTTGACTAACCAAATCGGTGCATCCCTTCACTGTTCATTCACGCATTGCACCGCATTTTGTCCTTCTCATTGCCGCTGGTCGTCGTTGTCCTCCTCGCCAAACTTCGCTCATCATAGTGCCGATTGCCGTCCACCTCTCTCTCCTCTAGCTCTATCATCACTGTTGCCCCTCGTTCGATCATCCGTTCTCGTCGCCAACTGTTGGGGATTAATTACATGCCATACAAATGTATGAAACGAATGTTTCTTTATTTTTTTTCTCTATTATAAGTGATTTAGAATATATTGAAGTTATCTAAAATTTATATTTGAAAGTTTATTGGGATAGTTTTGAAATTTTTTTGGTATGATTTCGCTGTCATTTTATGATTATCTTTTAAATTTCAGTGAAACATTGTAATACAACCTTTTTCAACAAAAAATTTAAGAACTCTACTCAAACTTTGAAATTTTCAACTCAAATACCCATTTATTGTTTTACTATAGAAAGTGATGAACATATATATAATTAATCGTGACACTAAGCGCGTCCGCGAGCATGCGCAAACTAACCCAAAAGGACTGATTCGCGAACGTTCGCACACGGCGAACTCGCAAGAATACCCTACACTTTCCTTTTTTTTTTGGCACTGCTTGGTAAGTTTACATACTGAAAGTTTATACGTGATAGTAATTCAGATTCAGATTTTCTTATGTAAAGTATATAAAGTTTTTATATATAAAGTTTTATGTATAAAGTTTCTACGTAGAAGTATAATCTTTGGAGACCATCGTCTCATGGTGGACCAAACGTGTTCACGCAGGATGCACGTGGACATTCACCCATTAAACTTACCCAAAGTAGCCTTCTCCAGGATTTTGGGCTTCCAAAATATTAGGCCCTAAGAGATGAGGCCCAAGAGGCCGTGAACATGCTTGGGCCTTGAAAATCCATGGCTTGTCGAGTAGGATTACTCTACAAGGCCCATAGGTTCCCAGCGTCCAAAGTTTTTAACCCTTGGAGACTTTTAGACCAATGTACTGTGTTCATCTCTTTGAGTACAGTATCTGATAAATAATTAAATTTTACCATCTCAGGAATCATTGTATGGCCGAAATCCTGGTCAATCCAGAGTTAGGATTTTAATTCAATTTCATGGTTTATTTCTTTAAACCGGGATTAGGATCCAAAGAAGCTGATTTTTTTTATTTATCGACTCTCTTGGAAATTGAATTGATTTACTAATTACTGATCAAGTACTAGCAAGCATCCACGCATCCATGTTTCTCGCCGTCGAATGCTGCAATTTTTTGACAGTGCACACCTAGCTACGTGCCTGTCTCAAATTAATAAACACTCAGCTTAGTACTCCACCTCTTTAATTAAATTAAATTAATAATGCCCTCTAGCTAGTACTGCATCACTCTTAACATAACATAATCACGGCCATAATGTGGCCACTAATGCAACATCATCCTTCTCTGAATATTATAAGAATATTCAGTAATCTATACACATTTTTTATATTGTACTATAGTATATTTTCAGTGTACTAGTGTTCCAGCCATGCATGCAACCATTGTTTACATTTATATTTTCAAAAGAAACAGCACATTGTTATATAGGCTCATGTGAAAAATTAAACATAAATAAACAATACTATAATCCATATAGGAGTACTTGCCCTAACTAATATTAGTGTCACCCATGTGAGCATGTCAATAGCTGGCCAGGCAAGCAAGCAAGCTCGCTCTGAATGTGTCCTGAAACACCCAGATTAATTAATTAATCTAATCAAACAAAAGCACAGCAAAAGAGGAGAAAGCTCAAGCTGAGCAACACAAGATTCGTTCCTTAATTAGGGTTCCAGTTCAGCTCGAGACAATGGCGATGCTTTGCTTAGCGGCTGTAGGGTTCTTAGGTGATACGGCCTCTGCCACTGTCCCCCTCTTAATACTATTGATTTAATTTCAGCGAGCAGCGCCCTGTCTGTCTGATGACAAGTTAATCAGCTTCTTGTTTAATTAGCTTAGTTTTCTCTTGAGATTCTTCCTGGTTTCTTGGGCTTTGAAACCAAGAAATGCAGTGACGATGCATATGCACACACACTGTGATTAGTTTAATTAAGCTTGGCTTTGATCTTGCTCTCTAGAACAAGTTGACAGTGCATGTGATGCATCGATCTGCAGGTACTGGCTGTCTGTATCTAGATTCTGGAGTCTAGAACACAAATCAAGTTAACAATTGTTACTTCTAGTGTGCTACTTGTAGTTCTTGGAAGTTGAAACTTGTATCTGCAGGTTCAGAGATGTTCTTGTATAATTGTATCTTGTCCAAACTGAACATTGTGGTCCATGCTTTAACTATAGTGCTAATTAATGAAGTTTCAACGATGTTTTTGCTAGTGCTACATTAAGGGTCAGTATATGTAGAATCAGCTTCATTTTGATGATTAATTTACTGACTGAATTGGGTTTTCTCTGAACAGACTGGACTGAACTCTGCCACCGGAAGAGAAGAAAGAAAGAAGCTCTGAACTTTTGTGAACAAAACAAATGCTCTGAATATGATGGCATGATTACCTCCCTCAAGAGATTGGCAATCATGGCTACAGTTACCAGAGAGGTAGTAATTCAGTTACAGATGCTACTGTTAGCTTCTACCACATGAGCACTAATCAAAAGTGTAATAATCACTGGCCATTCATCCTACCTCAAATTCAGGTTCTTCAGTTCTTGGACATAAGAGTCATTGTATCCTCTGAACTTTCCTGCTACTAGTAATAGTACATACAGTATATGATGAAGTTTTGAATTATTAGTACTAACAATTTGTTGCTCAACAGTAATGATCATTCATCAAGCCCTAGAACACAAGGGGACACATGAGGGCCAGCATGCATAATTCTGTCCTTTGCTTGTTGATGACCTACTGACCCATGGGCCCGGCCTGCTCTGCTCAGAAAGCAAATTAAATTACTATTAGGTCCCAATAATTACCAACTGATACTCCCTGATTCACTTGCAGCTTCTTATCATCTTCAGCAGCTTTTCATTCCCTTACCTTTTATGCTGCACTAGAATTTGTCCAATGTGTTCATCTCCTCCCTGAAATTAATAAAGCAGTCAAATTGAAAGAACAGACAAAGCCAATCGATCGGTTGATCCACATGGTGATTGTGCACTATAATTGAAAATTAAGAGCTCTAATCTTTGTTTAAGAAAAGGAAACGAGCCCTAAACATATGTTTAATGTTTAAAGAAATGATCTAACTGTACCAAGCTATATTCAGTAGTAGCATAGATTAATCAGGTGAAAGATACATAGGTCGTATCTTTGGTTGCACAACAAGAATCTTCCAGAGTTAAAGAAGATGGAGAGAAAATAAAAATCCAGGTGAGTTCTTGGAGCGACTTGGGAGTACTTTTGGTTGGCATTTGGGCAGACAAATTTGCAGCAAGAGTGTTCCAACTAATGTTAGTTTAATTAGTTTAATCATCCTCTCTAGTCTACACTCTGCACTGATCACTGAAGAACAGCTATCTTTTTAAGTTAAGTGTGCAGGTAGTCCTACTTTGTCAGTTTGGCACTGCCGCTTGTTGCTGCAAAATGACAAAATGGAGCAGTAAAAAATGGCCCTAAAATTAGTACTATTTCTATTAAGAGGATAGCTGCAGATTAGTTAATCACCTGAATTTGCAGAGAACACTTTGCAAAAGGAAAAGAATTACACTGAAGAACAAATGGTACTACAGTTCTAGTATGTCTGAACTCTGAAATGCACTTCAGTTCTTGTAGCACTACTAATTTAGGCAGATATAGCATCACCTGAATTTGCAGAAAACACATTGAATAAAAAGAGAGGAGAAAACAACATGGAAGAGAAATAGTTTGTCTGAAATACACTTCAGTTGCTGCACTTACAATTATTTGTAGAAAGATCGTGGATAGAACATGCAAGGGGCCCATGCATGCTTAATTTGCTCCAGCTTTAGGACCAGTGGCGCTGATTAAGCTGTCTTAATCTTTCCGAACAGAGATTAAAGTGGGGTTGTGCTAATCGGGTAGGGAGAAATCATGAGCATCAGCAAATTAGTTAAATAATCCTGACCAAAATCATACACATCAGCAAAGCAAAGCCCTTTGATTAATTATCTGCCTTTGTATACATCATGCATGCATGGGCTAGCAAAAGCTAATTCTGACCGAAATCATTAGCTCTAATCTCTGTCATTAAGTATCCATCCATACATGCGTGCCATGTAGTACTATATCTATCAAGTAAGATTGCATATATCTGCAGAAAATCCCAAAAGTTAAGAACACAAAAGTCATGGTGATCCCGGTTTCTTCTCCGAGCATCAAGATACTAACTCTTACTTAATTACACTCTATTACTCTTACTTAATTACTCTCCAAGTTAATTACTATTCATGTCTGTCCGACAATAATTTGGTCCGGCACATGTGGCACGTGATCACAATCTTACTCTCCGTTTCTTCTTGATTATTACTATGAGAATGCTTAGAGTTTAACCTTTTGACACATAGACCTCTGAGTAAGCCTGCATATAAGCAAAAGGCTTGACTAATTAAGCCATTGCCAACTTGTGGTTTCGGTAATTGGAGTTAATTTACAGCCGGTCATGTTGACATTGTCGCCTCTACCCGACATGGTTACCAACCCACTGCATAAACTAATCACTTTGCTTACGTATCAAGCAGCCTTCGTCAACTTCTGATCATAATTAGTGGCGTCTAACCTTGACACCGGTTCATACTGTGTTCTTGAGCATCTCATGCATGCAAGAAAGTCGTCAAGATGGCAATGAAAGTTGAATCTTTTTCGTATATATAGTACTACCATATGCATTGCCAAACATGGGGAACATACTTGACTCAGTTTTTAGGGCTTGTTCGGATTATAGGATAGGAAAAACGTAGGATAGAAAAAGTATAGGAATGTAAAAGGAATCTAAGTATAAAACAGAGAAATGAAAAACAGAGAGGAATGAAAAACAAAGGAATACAAAAGTTGAGAGCATTCGAATCACAGGAAATTGATTGCTTATGATTTGCATGCAGGAAGCAAACAAAAGAGCTCAAGGTGGATGGATTTTTCCTGTACTTTTCCTGTGAAAACAGCATTAAAGGAAACTTTCCTTTAGATTTCCTACAACCAGTTTTTATGACCCGAATGATAGGAAAGGGAAAATTTTCTATGCACAGTATTCCTCCAAAAATCCTGTGAAGTTCCTCTAATCCGAATAAGCCCTCAATGTCTTATACTTGTCTGAATAGTTTCAGTTACTGCGCATGCAGCATGGTTTGATGAAAATGGCACTAAAATTGAAACATACGTACATTCGCCATTCGTCCACTTGTTAGCTTAATTAATTACCAGCCACGGTAGGAATTGAAATTCTAAAACTCAACTTTAGTTGATTTTGGTTTTTGTTCATCACAATCCACTTACCAGCATTGGCTTTTAAACTGTTAATAACAAAAATATAAAGTTTTACTCATAAATTATTTTATTTCTTTGTTCATTTTCTCATAGTTTATCGGCTGTATCTCAAACAATTAGATTTATCGTGTAGGGACCTTTGTATGGACCCTTCAGAACTGAAGGAACATCATGGGATTTTTTTTAGGAAAGAAAAAGGACTATTTTCAAAGATAACTCTACAAAACTCCTATGTTCTTTTCAAGGAAAAACTGTAGAGAAGGATCCTACAGTGTATACATATATTAATATTATATAACTACATATTTTCATACAAATTATCTAGCCATTTTGTCATCAGAGGTTGTAAACTATTTCTTGCTCTATGGAAAACCAAGCCAAGTTCTTTTCGGAATCAGTCTTTTATGAACATAAAAGAAGAATAGGTGGAAAACAAAACTCCTGTATTTCAAAGGAGTTGGCATCGTGCGTAGTGGTATGTGCGCGTGTCCCACCCATGTAATATTCCATGAACAACTCTAGAAAACACATATGAGTAAGGAAACAACATTACATGGGGTCCGAGGCCGTGCAATATTCTGTCACAGGTGAAGGCAGCACAATTGAGCAAGTTGTCGCCTGTGGTACCGAACAAGCGTCCGATCTGCATGAAAACAGTACACGCACTACACTCTTTGCAAACGATGGCTGAACATGCAAGGTTTCTTGGAAGAAATTCGGAGAAAACTTTGGTCTTGTGCGGCAATCCACAGATCTAGGATGGTGACATTGTCTCATGTAGATGATGCATCTCCATGACAAAAACAAAATGCACTAGTGTGGCTTGCACAGTAGTGGTGGACTGGTGGTAGAGTACTCATGTGACAAGGCCAAGAAATTCCACAAGAATTGAACTATTTATGTCAGATAAATTTATATCACCACAGCAACATTAATTCTTATTTATCTGGTTTGTATAGTTGAGGGGATAAAATGTCTGGTTTTCAAATTCAGGAGAGTAATTTAATTTAATTGATCACGATAGTTGAGGGGGTAATTCGTATTTTTTTCCTTAACTCAATGTTACTACTACTTTTTGAAGCATTTGTTGAAGTTTGTTCAGTGCACTCGTGCTCGTCGCGTGTTTTTGGTGGCTTATCAACAGTAACCAAGATTTGAATTTTGAAAAGTAGAATTGATTCAGGAGCTTTTTTTATCGTAGTCTATTATCTAGCCTTGGCTTTTGAATGCTTGTAAACTTCGACAATGGATTAAAAACTTTTGAAGCACAAATTATATAAAACTGATAATAAATTTTAAAAAAACGAATGATGTAATAAATTTTTTTTTTGTTACAATGGATGTTTTTCTTCAGATTGTTAGCCGTGAGCCCGTGACTCAACTTATATCGAAGCATATGTCAGGTGAGACCAAAGGATAGGTCAGATTTGATCAAACTAAGCAAATATGTTCGAACGGATCTGAACGTGAACCCCATCAAACTATTGAAATTCATAAATTCAGCTCGAATTTATCGAATTTTCAATTATACTATCGATTTAAACTAAGTAATGGGAATTGATGGGTAGAAGCACGAGACAACATTGGAGTAGAGGAGAAAAGAGACCGTAGCGTCCAACAGGGCACTTTTGCCTCCAGTGAGCAGCAGTAAAACCCAAAAGTTACTGTCCTCTCTTTTTTCACCCTGATGTCACAGCCACAGCAGCAGTAGTACAAAAGTTGCAGTAAAAAAAAAAGTCTACGGCGCCGTAGAATGACGGATCTACCCCTACCCAACCAGGAGACAAGCTCACGAGCCTATGCGGATCCCGCACACGCCTCCTCCCCCCGCCACACACTATTTACGATTCTGCCACTCATCCCCGCCACGTGGCACCGCCACGTGTCAGATGACGTGGCCTCTCCCCGCCGGTATAAATCGCCCGGGAAACCGCTCCTGCCACTTCACCACCGCACAGCGAGCTCGCCGCGGAGAGCTTTCGCCGGAGAGGTAGACGACGACGGCGACGACAGTGTCACGTGCTCACGTTCATGGTGGCGGCGGTGCGCGCGCCGGTGAAGCCGGAGATGGTGGAGCTCTCGCCGGCGGCGATGGAGAGGTACTCCTCCGACGCCGACACGACGGCGCCGAACTCGAGCCTTAGCTCGGCGGCGAGCAGCACGGGGAGCCTCGCGCGGTGCTCGAGCCTGTCGCGCCTGTCGTTCGACTGCTCGCCGTCGGCCGCCGTGGCGGCGGCGGCGACGTCGTGCTCGCCGCCGCGGGCGTCGGTGCTGTTGCGGCCGCACAGGTCCGGCGACGTCGCGTGGGCGGCCATCCGCGCGGCTTCGACGACCTCCGCGGCGCCGCTAGGCCCGCGGGACTTCAAGCTCGTGCGGCGCATCGGCGGCGGCGACATCGGGACGGTGTACCTGTGCCGCCTCCGGAGCTCGCCGGAGAGGGAGAGCCCGTGCATGTACGCGATGAAGGTGGTGGACCGGAGGGCGGTGGCGAGGAAGCAGAAGCTGGGGCGCGCGGCGGCGGAGAAGCGGATCCTGCGGCAGCTGGACCACCCCTTCCTCCCCACCCTCTTCGCCGACTTCGACGCCACGCCGCACTTCTCCTGCGCCGTCATGGAGTTCTGCCCCGGCGGCGACCTCCACTCCCTCCGCCACCGCATGCCGTCCCGCCGCTTCCCGCTCCCCTCCGCCCGCTTCTACGCCGCCGAGGTGCTCCTCGCCATCGAGTACCTCCACATGATGGGCATCGTCTACCGCGACCTCAAGCCCGAGAACGTCCTCATCCGCGCCGACGGCCACATCATGCTCACCGACTTCGACCTCTCGCTGCAGTCCACCACCTCGCCGTCTCTCGACGGCGACACCGACACCGACGACGAGGCCAGCGGTGGCGCGTCCTGCTTCCCGGACCACCTCCTCCGGTTCAAGCGGCGGCGGAACGCCGTGGCGGCGCCGCGTCCGCGGTTCGTGGCGGAGCCGGTGGATGCGAGGTCGTGCTCGTTCGTGGGGACGCACGAGTACGTGGCCCCCGAGGTGGCGAGCGGCGGCGCGCATGGCGCGGCCGTGGACTGGTGGGCGTACGGGGTGTTCCTCTACGAGCTCATCTACGGCCGTACGCCGTTCGCCGGCGCTACAAACGAGGCGACGCTCCGCAACATCGTCCGCCGCCCGCTCGCCTTCCCCTCCGGCTCCGGCTCGTGCGGTCCCGCCGACGCCGACGCGCGCGACCTCATCGCCCGCCTCCTCGCCAAGGACCCCGCCGCCCGCCTCGGCTCCCGCCGCGGCGCCGCCGACGTCAAGTCCCACCCCTTCTTCAAGTCCCTCAACCTCGCCCTCCTCCGTTCGTCGCGCCCGCCCGTCGTCCCCGGCGCCGGCGCCGGCGCCGCGCCGCTACACCGGTCGCAGTCGTGCAAGGCGGCGCCGACAACGCCGCCGCCGCCGACGACGACGAAGCCGGCGAACGCCACCGCGCGGTTCGACCTCTTCTGAGCATATTGACCGTTGCTGTCTGCTACTACCTACCCGCGTCGTCGCCGACATCGCCGGCGGGAGACACGCTCCGGCCACCGTGACATTAATTTCTCGTTGACCCTTAGCTACCGCGTTGAATGTACACACTGTTAATTAATTACTACTCCTAGTTAATCACTGCTAATCACCTTGCTGTTAGTACTACTAAACTAATATAATCTAGTGGCTTAATTAATCAGCTTGCTTTGAGTGATATGATCACTGGTGATGATTGCAACTGTTTCTGAATCAACTGAGCATCCATTTTCTACCACTTCTTCGGTCCTAAATACTACGAATCTGGATACGATGTTTATTTAAATTTATAATATTATATATTCTATTCAACTAAAATTTTTTATATTTTTAATTGAAGGGAGTAACAAACATAGGAGTAAATAGAAGTAATTAAATAATTATGGGGGTGGGTAATGTTGGTCGGGTGGTAATTAAGCAGGGGATCACATGGATGCTGGAATTGGGTGGGATGCAGGTTAGCGCGGTTCATGGATTAGGGGGTTATGGTTGGTGATTACATTAATGGTCGGAGTTGACCTGTCTCGTCTCCTTGTCTGCTCTGCTCTCATCTTCTCGTCTTCTTTTCTTCCAAATAGTGGAGTGGTTTTGGTTGCTGGGAAGAGAGGTGACATTCCAGCCAGGTTGATGTCCATTTTAATATTTATTTTTGGATGCATTGCATTTTGCAAACAATAGCGTAGGGTGAGGATAAAAACGGTCGGAAGAGATGTATGGTACTAGTATTTCTTTTATATTTCTTATCACAGAAATGTAGAAATGTTTTTGGTATGGTAGGATATTTTTTTATAATTTTTGAATTTAACTATTTAGTGGTGGCATTGATACGACGCTGACATGACAGAAATTAAGATAAACTGAATTTTATATACAGCTAGGAACGAAAAGGGCAGAAACGATATACTAGTAAATTTTGTTCTACTTTAGGGGGGAAACGGATCGATACAATCGGGAAATTGATTAAAAATGTTTAAAAGTTCTTTGAAAAAAAAAACTCCAACGTTGTTATTCTTTACACAAACCTGCATCGTTTATGAGATTTTGAAGCACACCCCGTAATAATCCATTAGCAAGTTAAGTAGTATAACCGCTGAACACATGTGTATAATGTTTCATTTGGAAAATATCTGACACGTGTATATCTGCTACGAACATTTATGTTGTGTTCTTTATTCCTTCTGAACTCATACACCCTCGTTTTCTGAATCACTAAACGGTATATATATTTTTAAAAATATTTAGAGTTTGCTTTATAAATTATATTAATATATTTTTCTAGTTTTTTAATCTAACATTTAACTAAGAATATGCTAATCCCTCCTTCCAAACTCAATCTTACTCTCTCTGTAGTTGTCCCATAAAAAATTAACCTAATACCAGATGTTATACATCTTACTACTATGAATTTGGATATACATATGTTCAGATTCCAGATTCGTAGTATTAGAATATATTCTATTCGGTTTTAAATTTATTTTCCATGGGACAGGGAGTATTTGTTTACACTTGATGCACGGAAGACGTGCAGTATATAAAAGTACTGCTTGAACTCTCAATAGAGTATGCCCTTTTATAATTTCGAACATTTCAATGTAGGGTATGCCCTTTTAAAAGCAGAACCGCAAAATTAAGATTCAAAACATCTCCTTGCATTGCATGGCATTGCATTGCTGGGACACGAAATCATGATGATGAAGGTGTCGAGCTTTGGTGTTTGACCAGGAGGTCCCACAAGGCAGGCAGAGATCGATCGAGACGGTGGCTGCCATGGGTTGGGCCATGCACGCGTGCTGCTGTTTCTTTGTTCGTTCGTTGTCGTTGCTCTCCATCACCTTCCTTCTCGTAGATTAGATTGGTAGCTAGCCTTGCTATGGATCGGGGATCATGGCTGGAGGAGCATGCAAACTCACGGGATCGCCAGCTACTCTAGCTTTAACTTGGACCAGCCAGTGTCTTTCAAGTTTAATTGTTTAGTTGACCCCAGAGTTTACATTACCGGTTGACCACTAAATTTCGAGTCCTATCATTATCACGGTTTTCGATAAATTTTGACTTAATTTTGATCAAATCTATTGTTTAACCTTCGAAATTCCAATCGAAACTTAATCCCAAGCCGTGTCAAAACATTGAAATTTCACGAAATTCGACCAGTTTTTATCGAAATTGTGAACCCTGTTGACCCAATGACAAAGCTAGAATTTTTTTTGGGCCGAACAAACTTCAATATAATTAGTAGTATTTGTTATAGAAATTTTATCACCAATTCATAAATGTCGAGCTCGGGTGGTGGCTCCGCTACTAAGCTGACCTTAAACTTTGCAATTTGAGAAGATATACTACAATACGTACACCATGTGTGTACGAAACCTGGTTTATTTTTCCTATATACCTATACAATTCATCCCCGCTAACTCTAATTCTCTCATCTCACAGCTTGCCACGTCACTCTAAATTAGTCTGACCATTAGATTTGCAATGGATGTCTTAGATTTTCACTGATTAGGATCTGCAGCAAAAACATCTAGCTCTACTTGAGTACCTCCACGTCTCCCAAGCGCTTTATCTTTCGAAACTGCCAATTTTATTACCCACTATGATTACTTCTTAATGTCTGATGTGTTCACAGAATCAACTGGTAGCATTTGTTTCCTCTTTTCTTGCTTTTCCTTTGCCTCTTCCGATCGTTCTCCTTTCTACTCCTAATCTTGGTTTCCTTCGGGATATGTTTCCCCTCGCTAACACTCTTCAGATGAATGCAGAAATCTTCTCGATTCAAGATTGAATGGTGAACTCTCGAGCATGAGAAAAAAGCCCATAAAGGATAGTTCTACTAATCTCTTTGTTTATTAATTTTGCATTGTTTTAGACATGGTAAGCGTAATATAGGTCTATCCATGTTCTCATTTTCTTCAAGTCCTATTTGATAAAATAGACATACTTTATCATCTTACCTGTTTTAGAAGAGCTCTTCAAACAAACCGAAAAGAGAAAATCCCTTGTGTGCCCATGAAAACTCATCCAATCCCTTAGATGCCCTCGAATTTTACTCGATCTCCTCTGTACCCCTCAAATTTCGCTTTGATCCCTTCCATGCCCCTCCCGTTAGGTTTCCTTCATTTGGCAGTTAAGTGTGGTTCCAAATGTCCAAAATACCCTTCTGCAATAGGGTGAGCAATGTGTATCTTCCGTATGAGCGACAGCTAGATTGAAAAAAATAAAACAAATGGTGACTGAACAATGTGTATTTTGAGGCTAAATGAGTGTATAACAAATTTATTGTGGTACTGAAAAATGTAATATATCTTTTTGTTTAGGAAAAATAATAGGATGAGGAAAAGCAACATGCATGAGTTTCCTCTATAGAAGAAATTGGATCCTCTGTACAAGAAAATGATTCTAATACAATAAGAGCATCAATAGCTTCATACATAACTATAGAAACATACAAAAAATCCTTTCCATACATAACAGTTCATATCATGCACACACAATTCCATTTCCATACCCAGTAGTGCAGGAACCAAACCAACTTTTCATTCCATACATCAGGAGCACAATGGCATAAGGTCCATAATAGTATGTCCATAACAGGGACATTTTATGAGAAAGCAATCCTTACAATAGCGAAATGAGATATCAACTATGACTAGAGCACTTTGCAGGGCATCACAACAACAAAACCCAGCAGCCTCCACAAGAGAAATGGCAGTACCAAAATAAAACCTAATCAGTAAGCCATATATATGATTTAGTCCATAAGCTTTCTTTTGCTCCTAGTGCCCATTGCAGGACTCTTATTTTTGCTCCTTGTGCACATAGCTGGGCTATCAGGAGTACCAGAACGTGATGGCTTTCCCTTTGTTTTGCTCTTCGCCTTTTTTGGTGCAACGGTAGGTGTTTTATCTCCAATACATGGCAAGGCTACAACATGTTAGATGGCTCAGGTTGATTAGAGCCAGTAAGTGATCTTGATCTAGAAAAGAGAGTTGAGAATAAATTGTATAGAACAACATAATGCCAGCAAATTGACATAATTGATCTATGTCTCTTGATCTAATTACTTACCTAATTGATATACTTGAACATGAGCTATTGTTCCATGTACTATTGTCCTCAGTGAAATGAAAGTTTTGACTGTGGAAAATAAATTGTTATATACCTAACTGATCTAAATCCATGTAGAATGAAATAAAGAAATTTGCCTAACCTAGGAGAGTATGCCATTATTGGTGTAACTATTGGAGCAGCCATGATAATTAAAAAAAAGGGCTCGCTAAAGCACTAAATCATTCGATAGTTTAACACATTAGGGGAAAAAACGCTGCTCTTGTCGTCTCGGCTGTTGTTAGCTTCAGCTACTGGCTGTAGCGCTGCTCTTGCCAAGGCAATGCGAGTGACCAAAATTTGTCGATGCTAGAAACAGCACAAGCTTGCAACAAACAGCGCGGGGAATGCATGGGAAATTCCAAATAGAGGTTGGACAATGTCGCTGAACTCCTAGTAATAAAGTGCCCTAGGCCTAGGCAGTGTTGTTGGTCTCCAAGCGCTTGCAAGGAAGCTCCAGGAGAGGCAGATCATTGGGATACTCACGCGTCGATTAGGTATGGTAGATCCACCCCCAATAAGAAGTGCAACAAACCAACAGGAAAAGAAGATGATTAACTTACCGGCTAGATGATCCCCAACTGATAAGATCCCCAACTTCCTTTGGGGTTTCTCCTCCTGCTCCAGGGAGGGCGGTGGCCGGCGGCCCGTGTGGCGGGAAGAAGACAGCTGGACGACGACGTGCGCGGCGGGGAGGGCGGCGCGCGCGGTGGGAGGGCGACGCCCGCGCGGCAGGAAGAAGACGGCTGGACGACGACGCGCGTAGCGGGAGGGCGGCGGGACAGCTGGACGACGACGCGCGCGGCGGGAGGGCGACGCCCGCGTGGCAGGAAGAAGACGGCTGGACGACGACGCGTGAGGCGGGAGGGTGGCGTGTGCGGCCGGAGGGGTACGGAACAGCAGCGCTAGCTACTGCAAGCCGGCGGCGCGGGAGGCCGCTCGAGTCGAGTGGATAAGAGGTAGGTTGACCAAAAAGGGGATAAGACTTAGGGTTGGAGGGGCATTTTGGCATTTTTTAAAAATACTGACAATACTACACACGGTTTGATTACCATT